GCGGTTCTCAACCTTCCAAATGCTGTGACCCTTTAATACAGTTCCTCATGTTGTGGTGGCCCCCAACCATAAAACTGTTTTTGTTGTTACTTCCTAACTGTAATTTTGATACTTTTGTGAATTACAATGTAAATGTCTGATATGCAAGATATCTGATATGCAACTCCCATGAAAGGGCCTTTTAATTTTTTTTCTATTTTTTTTAAGATTTATTTATTTATTATGTCTGCTTGTATGCCTGTGTGCCAGCAGAGGGCACCAGATCTCACTACAGACGGTTGTGAGCCACCATGTGGTTGCTGGAAATTGAACTCAGGACCTTCGGAAGAGCAACCAGTGCTCTTAACCTCTGAGCCATCTCTCCAGCCACAAAAGGGTCTTTCAAGCCCCAAAAGGGTTGCAACTCAAAGGTTGAGACTGCTGCTCTAAGATGACATGTTGAGGTGTTTTGTCATACTCATAAAAAGCTGATTAACACAAGATCAAAGAACAGATCTGAGATTTGAGGCCAAAGACATACCACATACTGAGATAATTAATACTAAAGGTTTTTCAAATGAAGATAGGAGCCCCTTGCTGTCATCTCTTGGGGTGTTTTCAGATGTCTCCACTCTTTCTGTAGCCCAAGGAAGGTTGTGACAAGAGGAGAATCTGAGGGGCCAGGCTTCTGTTTCTTCTCAGGGAGAGAAAGGGAGAAACTAGAGATAAAGCACATGGACTCTCAGTTCCTGACATTTGATGTGATAGCAGTTTGGTGGAACTCCCACGAAACAATGTCTTAGATGCATGTGATTCTGAGCACAGAGGTTTTAAACAATCAGCTTCAGTTGAGGAGACAACACCACAACGTGCTTTTTAATGACAAAAATAAAGAAATAAAAAACAGCTATCTCTTTTCCTCATTCCTGCAGGTGCCCAACCAGGTTGACTCGCTGGAGTGCATTTTCTGCATTCTTAATAGATAGCTAGCAGGAAACGCCTTGCACAGCCTTGGCTAGAGGGGCGGAACATTTAAAAGGGAGGGCACAACATCTACAGCTCCCACTTCCACAGTTGCTGAGCCGCACCAGAATTGGAGGATTTTGCCTTCTCAGGTGACTGCCGACAATTAAGGTAGGAGAAGCTGGGAACTTGGGAGTGTAAAATGGGATAGAAATTCACATGGGTGTGAATTGGAGGTCATGATTTACTACTATGCTAATTGAGATTTAATCTGGCCTTTGGAGGGGCTTTTGCTCCAACTGGTCATTTTGATAACCATCGTCATCTGACACTGTGTCCCGTCTTAGAAATACCTGATACATTTTGCAGGAGTGTGGTAAAAGTGTCCACCCAGAGTCCGTGTGACAGACTGTAGGCTAGACTTCTTTCTGCCTTTGGATTCCTTCTTCTGAGATGTTCTACAGTAGTTTGGATGATATTTCAGGTTCTTCTTCAAACACTCTGGGTCTTTATTTCTGTTCCTGACATTTCCTTAGAGTCAGCTTTGCAGTATCCTTTTCACCCAGGCAGTCCGCCCTCTCTTCACTCATGAGTAACTTACGCAAAACTCATTGGAAGATGAGGCACTTAAATTTTACATAAGGATGTAGTGAGATTTAGTTCTTCATAGGGATTAAACCAGTTCTCAGAATGTGTGTCCTTTTAGAATCAATTTCCTCATTTTTTTTTTGTTTTTGTTTTGTTTTGTTTCTTAGTTAGGATTTCGCTGTGTTTCCCAGGCTTGTCTTGAACTCCTAGGCTCAATTGATCCTCTTGCTCCAACTTCCTCCCCAAGCTGGAACTACATGGATATGTCACAATACCCAACTTAACTCTCTGAATTTAAATATCATGAACTGCAGTTTCTCTCCAGTTGAGCTAAGTACAGCCCAGAGAATTCCTTGTAGGTTGGCTCCAGAGAAGTAACACTTGCTGAGTATGTGTTTTTGTGTGTGGAGAGGGAAAAAGGGGCATTGGTATAATTTGTGGTCTAATCAAGGTTTCAAATTGCCTATAGTATGAGCCCTCCAAGTTGAGCGGGGCTAAAACACTGCCAATGGGATGATCTGGAGCTTTTCCCTGGTATGGTCATTTGCCATGTGCTCTTAGTCTCTACCCAGTAAGACTAGAAATGTGGTTATGGCCATGCTATCCCAAGAATCCAGCTAGTGCTTTCCGTGTAGCTTCAGGGGAAATTAGAAAGAAATTACACGTTGTGTCAAGCCTGAGCCAAGCTTGGTGGCTGCTGGCGACGTGGAGCCAGAGAGGACCGTCCTGCAAAACACCAACAGCACCTGCCGCACCAGACAGGTGTAGCCTACAAAGGAAGCCCCGAAGGAGACCGACTTGAAGCTTTGCTTATATTCCCTGAGGGAATGCATCTGGCTGGCTCAATGTCCTGACTCATGGCTCTTTTAAGATTAGAGGTCAGTCCCACCCCACAGTTCATAGATGGGGAGACTGGGGCCAAAAGCAGGGGAGAGACTTTCCCACTCATCAGATAGGTTAAGGAAAAGTTGGAAGCAGATAGAGGCTGGAGCCCAAGAGACCAAAATCTGAATGTCAGTTTGCCACTAGATAGTTTTCTTTCACCTTCTCTAACATCTACTTTGCTTATTTTGAAATGGGGGTGGTCATGCCTACTTTGAAGGTAAAACAAACAAACAAACAAACCCTCCAAACTGGAGAAGATGTATGGGCAGCTTCCAGCCCTGAAAAGGTGTTCTTATAGTCCATAGCTTTAAAATGCTACTCTCTCCATATACTCATTCCTTTGTCATTCCCAACACCTTTTCTTTGCATTGATAACTCCAAGAATCTGAATATACATTGCATTTTTATCGAGGAATAATTCACCCACTGTGAAATAGATTTTGACTCTACAATTTGATGAGTTCTGACAAATGTAGTAAGTACCACCCCCAAATCAAAGGCCAAGCATATGGTGTGTCAGTGCCTGTAAGCCTAGCTCCCAGGAGTCTCATAAAGATGATGATGCATTGGAGACCAGCCTTGGCTACATAGAAAGACCTTCATGCACTGGGGGGAAATATATGGGACATTACCAACACTGGTGAAGGTTTCTTCTTGCCCTTCCTCTTCAGTCTCCATGTCATAAGCATCCACTATTCTAACTTGTAGCACCATAGATTATTTGTGCTTGTTTTATATGAGTAAAAACATATGACACATTATTTTTTTATATTTGGCCTTTTCACTCAGTATATAGGGATTGACCTGTGTTGTGTGTAGTGGTAGTTTGTTCTACTTTATTGCTGAGTAATATTCCATGGCATGATTACATCACAGAAAATGTATTTTCCTGGTAATAGACTCATTTAAGCAGTTTCATTGGGGAACATGATAGACACAGCTATCATAAGAGCTTATGTAGAAGTATCTGTGTATACATGGCTGGGGTAGAATGATTCTGAAAAGAGAGCCCTTTAGAAAGAACCCCTGAAGCCTGACGTGATAGCATACTCCTTTAATCCCAGCACTCAGGCAGAGACTGGTGAATCCTGAATTCTAGCCAGCCTGATTACAAAGTGAGTTCCAGGACAGCCGGGGCTACACAGATCAAAAAGAAAGACAAAAGAAAGCAAATTAGAAAGTTCCCCTGCTTGTTGCCAGATTCCTTCCTAATGTCCCCAGCATAACCTAACCATAAAAGAACCTTGTAAGACTAGGTTAGAGAATTCACACTATTCACATCCTACTAAGAATAATATAAAGTCTAGAGGAATTTGTTATCCTACACCTTAAGGTTACGCACTGGATAAAATCTCAGGCCTTGTGACTCCTAAGCTGTGATTTCCTTGCATTGTACTTCCAGTACATGAAACGGCATTCAGCCATTCTTTTTTGAGCACCTATTTCTGTTCAGACATCAAGAAATTTGAAAGGAAGACTCCAGGATATATAGTATCTCATAGAATAGACAGAGAGGAAATCTAGTAAACCTTAATCATTTTTTTGTTATATTCACAAGATTGAATAGATTGTTATTCAGAGTACACAGCAAGTCTAGTTGACTTTAAAGGTAAAGAAGCAATCCCAGGCAAACTACCTCCCCAGTAAAGGGAGCCAGGCCCTGGCCCGGGTGCAAATAGAGCCTCACACTTGAAGGTTGAGCGTGCTGCTGTAAATAATGCAGTCCAATTACAAGGCAATTTAGCCAACAGCTGATAAGCAGTTGTGAACAGAACATGGTCTTAGGCTTTCTACTAATGTGGCCATAATATGCTATCATAAAAGTGGGTTTTGGAGATCTCTTTTTGGTTACAAATATGTGTGTCTGAATATGTGTGTCTCTGAGTTGGTGCTGCTATAGTTTCTAAGATGGAGTGGCTTCTTTGCAGGACAGTCTCGTGCATATTAGAACACCAGGATGCCTGGGAGCTCTAATGTGGTCTATACTCTCTTGCCTGGAAATGGTCAGGCTGGAAAGCAATTCTGGTGGACAGTAAGCTAGCCCACCCTGGATTGCTTGGCCAAGCTCTCTAAGGGAATCTGCCTGAGGAAGCTCTGGGCCAACTCTGCTTCATGCATCTGGGAAGGAAATATTTCTATAGAAGGCAAATCACTCTGTTATTTGGCCTCAATGATCTACCACCTTCTCTCTCTTGGTGCTTTTCTATTTTGGCTGCTTGATAATTCCCTTTTTTTTTTTAAAGAGATGGCCACTATCACTGCATTGCTTAGCTTTGAAATGCTGTTTCCTGAACCCTGATTATATTAGGCTTGCTGTATTTCAAGAACCCTGTGGGATCCAGTGAGGACCTGTATTTGTTGGAGCAAACTGTATATCCGTAAGGTTGGGGGCAATATAGTCAAAGCACATTATGCACCTATATGAAAATGTCTTTCTTAAAATCATTTATAAATGTTAATTTAAAAAAAGACAGAAAAGAATGCCATTCACCCAAACCATAACTGGGCCACTTGGTAAAATAGTTCTGGGTACATTTTCTTTTTTTAATTTGGTTGACAGCTATCACTTGTGTCACTCACTGACAATGGAAGAAACGAAGAAGTTTGGTGTCCGGATTCCGAAACGTAGGCAAAAACCAAGAAGGACTGAATGGAATTCCCGGTGTGTCCTTTTCACCTACTTCCAAGGAGACATCAACAGCATGGTGGATGAGCACTTCACCAGGGCTCTGAGAAACCTCAAAAAGCCCCCGGGATGGAGTTTCTCAAGCCACAGTGAAAATCTGATCCTCAGGAATGGTGAGCATATTGGGAGGGAGGAGACTTTCAGTGAAAGACCAGTTTTTTTTTTACTTACTCTAGGTTCTTAGATATGTATGTGTCTGGTACAGGCAAGTCACCCTGCCTATTGAGAAACTACACTTCTGAGACAATTAAGGTAAAACGGACAGTGCTTAGTTAAATGAGCTCACATACTCATTGATTCCTTGATTCTGTTAAAGGCTGAGTTTGCTGCTCTGCACACAGTAAGAGCTCTACCCTTGTCCACTAGGAGCAGCTTATCAGGGCTATTATTATTACTATTGGCCTGAGGGCTAGAGCACTAAAGGATTCACAATAAGATAAAGGACATCCCAGACTCCTACCAGCAAGGAGTGGATATCTGGCAAGTGAGGACAGGGCCAGAGGGAGGCCCATGAAGAGTCTTGCCACATCCCTCTCTCACCCTTCACAAGGTTAAAGATGTCTGTTGTTGAAGAGCTATGTCATGATGTGTGTGTGATTCAAATACTCAAGTTTCAGGGGAAGCCATGGACCTGGAGCAGGGTCCATGGTATATATGCCTTTTAAACTTTAAGCACCTTTACCTTCATGGGTCCCTTTCTCAATAAAAAGTGCAATTTATAAATGCATTTGTATAAAAATGAATTTGACCCAGATTGGATTCCTTTTTTTTCTTCATATGTGGAGTATCCGTTTCATAATCTTTTGTTTTTAAAATAAAAATGCCTGGACCTGTAAAAGTATTCTTGGACTCTAGACACTGTGGCCCTTGTGCCTGATGGAATAAGACAGAGTGGTTCCCTTTTACCTTTTTGACATGTGCGAGTAGACTGGGGCTTAAATGTTTTCAGAAGCTCACTACTTCTGTGGACACACACACACACACACACTTTAGTTCACAAAAGGATATATGGGCCTCTAAGTGGGGCAGTTTATACAAAGTAGAAATAGAAATGTGAAGCCCCTATCTGTGGGCAAGGACATCTATAAGCAGACTCCATCATCCTGCCTTTATTCTTCAGAGTAGACAAGGCATCTGATGTGCTGATCTTAGCAGAATTTACCTCTTTCCTAGAAGTGAATTTTCTGAGTAAGCGATATGGTTTGCTCAGAGAATCTTGTGGGTTAAAGTGATGTGGAAGAACATATGGCAGTGGATACTCAATCCTGTAAGTGCTGTTTTCCAACTACTTGCCACAATGCCTGACTCATGGAAGTCGCTCAGTGAATATTGCTTGGATGAATGGAACTGTGATTTGGAGCACAGCATAATGACACAGACTGGGTATGTTGCAAAGAAAAAGGATTTGTGCTGGGGATGTGGCTTAGTTGGTAGAGTACCTGTCTTGCATGCTCAGAGCCTTGGATTTGAGTTTAAGCGCCACAAAAACTGGGTGTGGTAGCACATGCTTATAATCTTAGCATGTGGGAGATGGGGGCAGGAAGAACAGAAGTTCAAAGTCATCTTTAGTTATGTGGGCAGTTCAAGGCCACCCTAGAAGTACATAAGACCTTGTCATTAAAAAAAAAAAAATAAAGAAAGAAAAGAAAGAAGAAATATTTATTTTAGCACAGGGTTCTGATCCAAGGGGCCTCTTTATGCTGTTGTCTTCTTGTTGAGAGTCCCAAGGCAGCGCAATGCAGTGCATCACATAATAAATGATAATAAAATGTATATTATCTGGCTTTCTCCTTCTTGTCAGAAAGCCTCTTGCACTTTAATGATGTGATACCATATTTGATGTCATTATTCTTAATCATCACCCAAAGAGCCCTCCTGTAATCACAATAAACTCACTACACTTTGGCTTTCTTAATACCCCACAAGAGAGGTTAAGATCCAATGGGATTCAGTGGAGACACATCACCTTGAGTCCATAGATAAGGTCACCACAGAGAAGGGTGACTCTGTGATGCACAGCCTTCAAAGCAGTCAGCCTGGTGCCTACTCCCTGTGAGTGTGACCTTAGGGCATGTTTCCTCTGCTAGAACTGACAATTACTGAACTGGAAGGGGACATTTTTGAGAAGTCAGTGGGATAATGGATACCAAGCGGCAAGTTGTAAGGGCTGCATTTGTGGGGATGGTGCCAAAGTCTAGCACGCTGTTTTGGATGACTGTTATGGATATGATAGCCTGCATTCAAAACATTAGGGTCAGAGAGCATCACACCCTTCCTATGAGCTTTTATGTTCTGTGAGGGTTTTGCTGTGTGGCTGTTCTGGTGTTTTCTGTGTGTTGTGACCTCACCTTATATGAGTCTGGGGAATTTGGGCATAGACTTATTTCTTAGGCAAACTAACTTCCATGGTGCAAAGAGAGGTAGGGGGCTTTCCCTTTTTCACTTACCTCCATGGCTATTGCATTTTCCTTGTGACAATCTCACAGACCCCCTACACGTTGTCTCATGAGGTTTTGGGCTAAGCAAGTATTTCCTCAGCTGACTGAACAACTGAAGGAAAGACTGTTTCTCTCAAGGCCTTTCTTACCATAGCTAGGAGTCAGCTTTCTCCTAAGCCTGGCTGTCTCAAGGAAGGGCTCAGTGAAAGAAGTTCAGGACAGTAGATTTTCTCATCGGTGGTGTTACAGGACACACAGCCTGCCTCAGACATGATGAGAATCTATGCAGCAGCTTTTCATTACTGACTGCTGCTTGGTATTCTCTTAACTCCTTCAGACCAACCCCAAGCATCCCAGCACCAGCTCAGCCAGGCAGAGGAGAACAGGCTGCCATTCATAGGCACCCATAGGAGATTTACCCACATTCTAGTGGCACTTTGTCAAGCCAAATATGCAAGACCCAAACACAGAAACTTATATGGCAATGCCCCCAAATCTCCTGGCTTCTTTCCCCAAGTCAGAGGTTTTTTTTTTTTTTAATTATATGTATATAATACACAGTGGCTATACTTTTAAAAGAAAATAACTGAAGAGATCTTTGAGTTATCTCCTCTTTTAAAGGATATTGGAGACTTCAGAGTCAGTATCTGGGGAAGTTTTAATAGATGTGATGTCTTGAGCCATGGTATGGTCCTGGTGCTTATGGGGCTTGTCTTAACTGGCATTTTTTCCTGTTCTCCTCCTCCTCCTAGCACAAGTCCCAGGTGCTTAGACCTGGGAGCATGCCCAAGGGCTGCTAGGAGAAGGTGATGGGTGGTGACCTGAACCAGCACAGGTCCTTCATACTAATTTTTAAGGGCTTCCTATCTGCTCTTGTTAATGGGGGGGAAAAAAAAAAGAAACACAATGGTTCCCATCTTGTGGAGAATATCTATGTAAGATACAGTCCTGCTACTTGCTTATGGTCCCTTAAGTACTGATGACATGGTGCCTTCATTTCTAGTAAGAGAAAGGAATTGTGCCCATGTGTGTCTCTAACCTCCAGAGGTACCCAATACCACACCAAAACAACTGCATTTACTGTATTCCTCAAAATCGACCACAGTTTAGACAGTCTTCAAAGATGAGCGGGCTGAGTATGGTACACACCTGCAACCCCAGGAAATGGGAGACTGTGAGAAGATGACTGTGAGTTTGAGGTCAGTGTAGGCTATGTGCTAGAGTATTTTTTTTAAGGCAAGCAAACGAAATCTATGGTGCTTACCTTTAAGAGTGAGGTCAGTGACTAAAAGAGCACCTGAGGGGATGTGTTTGTGTATGTATTTGCACATACACACATATGTATATATATATTCATGTGAAGGCCTTCGGCTGGAATCTGTCATATGGTTTATAGTATTGTATCTTCACACTAATCCTATTGATTATGGTCCCCATATTTCTGATGAGGAAACTGAGGTACATAGTCTAGTCACCTGTACAGAATCTTACCACAAAGGTAGGATGGCCTCTGCAGTGCTGTCAGCCATTCAACCTGAAGATACCAGGCCACATTTTGCATCTGAACTCTTTTTGTTATGAAAAGGAACATGGACATCTAGCAAACAGAGAGTAGGTGCCCTGGGGCAGTGAGTAGGAAAGAGAGGATAAGACTGAGCAGGCCTCCTCAGTGTTCCAGAATAGAATTGTCTGTCTAAACTGATCCTCCAGTTGTGGTGTGGTTTTGTCATTAGTTAGTGTCAAAGAGCATGCATTTTTGTTCTTAGAGGAAATAAAATAATGGAGGAACACCAGTCACACTGACAAAAAGCACAAAGCCAATACGTGCAGGCTGTGCTGGCCAAAAGTTAGATTTTCCTACTGCACAGTATGTATATGTGTGTGTGTGTGTGCGTGTGGTGTGAAAGAGGAAAAAGAAGGAAGGAGGAGAGGAAGAAAAAGGGATCGACTAAGGAAGAGAGAGAAAAGAATCAGAAGAAAGGCAATCAATTAATTCTATATTTATCTTTACAATTGTGACTCATATTTTAAATATCTATAAATCAAGTCTTTTTATGTTTTTGAATTTAAAAATCCAAAAACTTAGCTGGATTTAGTGATGTTTGCCTGTAGTTCAAGCTACTCAGGAACCTGAGATAGGACGGCTGTTTTTTTTTTATTAAATTTATATTTTTATATTAATTACAATTTATTAACTTTGTATCCCAGCTATAGCCTCCTCCCCCCTTCCCTCCCTATCCCACACTCTCTCCTTCATCTCCTTTCTGGCCCTCTCTATGTCCACTGATAGGGTAGGTCCTCCTCCCTTTCCATCTGACCCTAGCTTATCAGGTCTCATCTATCTACCCCCCCCCAACTATTAGCTAAATAGCTAAATAAACTTGTTCCTTTGCAGATTACCCAGCCTCAGGTATCTTGTTACAGCAAACAGAGTAAAATGTCATGTCAGGAGGCTACACAAATTATAGAGGGTGTGTGTGTATGTGTGTGTGCGCGTGTGTTTGTGTGTGTGTAATAAATAGCCCACCAGGGATGTTATGCCAGTTTGTCATTCCCCCAACTTCAATAATGTGTGGAAGTGCTATGTTCCCTGCTCAACTTAAAATAGAAAGATTCAATAAGGAGGTGTGTGTGTGTTTGTGTATGTGTTTGTGTGTATGTGTGTGCATACATATATTTGTAAGTGTTTATACATTTTGCAAATATACACACACAACCACACACATATGTTTGTGTGTATTCATGCACTGTAATGTTTGCGACTGAATAGATTTGTGTGCATTCATTGGAATATATAGCCAGGGCCTGCTGTGAGCCAGGCATGGTGAGAATTCCCAGGAATATCATGGTGGGGAGGAAAAAGAAGCTATAACTATGCATACTGAGTAGTGGGAAAGGATAGTAGTGAGTGAATGAGTGTATGAATGACTCAAGTATTAACTACTGCGCTGCAGGAAACAGGCAGGTTACAGCTATAGAGAGTAACAGTAAACTCCTATTTGCTGAGAGAGTGATTATATAGTTTGTGAGTCTAGAAACTAGTCCAGACTAGGAGGTCTGGCCTTCCATCCAACCACAGATGCAGGATCATTCCCTGGTGTGCATGCAAACTTTACAGTACAAGAAAGGCCTTCTAGAAGGTTCTGGGGTTTCCAAAAGTGTACGTGAGTGGGAATGGCAGTGTCTTTTGGGTAGTTCTTGGGAGTGGAGAAGGGTGGCTACCACTTTAATTTAAATAGTGAGAAGTGGAGAATAACATTTTCTGACTTTCTGGGCACTCCTGATCTTAGGAATTCTAGAGTGATGGGTGAGACTAAGAAGCGGGGTCTAGATGCTTACAGTTGAAGTGGAAAGAGTGGAAGGACTCAGAATCCCTGAATCTAACCAAGTGCTCAAATGCTCTCCACTCATTCCTGCTCTGGATTTGAGAAAGCAACATTTGAGCTCTCTTGCACATGTACCCAGAGGGAATGAAGAGAAAGCACTTGGGTAAGACTGTCACTACAGCAGCAACCTTGAGGCAGCCCAACCTATGGTTTGGGGTACCACCCTGTACCCACAGATTGACATTGCTGAAGGTGCAGTTAGTTGATCAAGAAGCCCACCCAAGGTAGGGTCTCCATTCTAGGGGCCATAAGCATCCATGTCTTGTCTAGAAAAGTGGGTCTCTCAGGCTACTCTAGAACCGTTGGGGTGCTATGACTTTGGGGTTGAAACCTCATGTTCACTCCCACATTCTCCTATCCAAACTTTATTGTGGTGCATCCAGTTATTCCACAGGACTGTGGACAATGGCACACCACCTAACTCCCATTAACCGGGACAGAAACAGTTGAGATAAATATTCCAAACCCTCTGTGGCCCTGTTTTCCACAGCTCAGACATTCAGTGAGCACCTGAGGCATATGTATGAGATCTGTAAAGCCAGTCCAGACGGAAACGGCCCCGTTGTCAGAGGCGAGGCTACGTTGATAATTTGTGCTTAGGACATGCAGTACTCCCATTAAATATGAAACACGGACACTGATTATATGAAATCAGCTTAATCATTCTGTTCCAAGGCACACAGTGCCCTGAGTTGCTAATAGCTAGAAATGCCAACTTTCAAAGGTAACATGAAGTAGAACAGAATACCTGTGCCGTATGTGATCTGGCCTCCTTTATGTTTTTCATCCGCATTACAGGAAAAGCTACAGTGGTGGATAGGGACACTCTAGCAACACTGCATTGGCCTCTGAGATGGTTTTTCATTTTATAAAAGGTCCAGTCAAATAGAACATTCAGGAGAGCTCAAAGAGGTGCCCATGAAGGTAAAGGGAACCAGTATCTCAGACAGACTCTTCTGCTAGCCAATTCTTCCTTGCCATCGCAGTCATGTTCCCCCTCCCTGCCTACCTCTCCATTATCTTAGATAGATGAGAGGCTTCAGGCTTTTAGCAGCATCTGGCAGAACTCTTTCCTTCCCCATCTCCTGCCTGAGTGGATGCTAAAAGTGGGAAAAACACCCATTCATGTTCTGAGCTATGGTAGACATTTGAGATCTCAGTAGGCTCTTATCCTAGGTACTATTAGAATAGGGACTCAAGGAGATTCCATTACTATTAGTCAGTCCACATGAACTTGAAAGGTAGAAGCAGTGTTAGATGTTGACTCCAACCATTCTGCTGTTGCAGAGTGAGGACCAAACAACTACTTTCCTCTCCAGCATTCATTACTCCTGCTCAGTTTCCTACCAGCCCAACATATGTAACTACTGCTGTCCAGTCTCTTACCATTTTCATGTCTAAGATTAAGTTTGCTAGAGTTGTGTGAAGGACCATTAAAGGTACGCAGTAATTTCTTTATTCAGTTCTGTGGAGTCCTGCCATTTGCTGTAATTAAAGTATCAACTATAAAATAGAGCTAAGCAATAGCAGCAACTGAACATAAACCAAACATTTAATTACAAAAGACTTCTTAAGGAGCCAATGTTCATGTGGCTGCAAAAATGCATGTGTGGAGCTATTCACTGAGATATCCATAATATAACTGGAAAATGTAAACAACTGAGCTGCCCACAAATGGGACACATGTTACTCCATTACTGCTGTGTGATAGAACAATATATAACCATTTGAAAACTAGTGTTTATATTAGCTATGTGCTGGTTACCTCTCAAATAACTTGATACCATTAAATACTTCTTTAGTAAATAGAGCTAAAATCCAAATTATTGCTTAAAGAAAAGAGAATGATCCCTATTTAAAAAAAAAAAAAAAGATGTTGTGCCTTTTGTATTTTACTCTAAAATGGGATGCCCTTCCATTTAGTCTTGTTCTAAATCATATCATAACTTTCTGCAGCCATTCTGGAGTCAGTCAAAATAACAAATGTTTACATTTTTATTTGAATATTTTTCTTGATTTAAGCTTGGGTGCAAGTCCTTTGGAAAGGAAGTGATGACATTAAAATTAGTAACTTGGAATAAACTTGTATTTGTCTCTATCCATTGCTGTGTGAGGTTGTTGGTTTTATTTCTTGAGACAGTGCTCTTAGATTTACTGTGCATCTCAGGCCGGCCTTGAACTCAGGCCACTCCTTCTGCGTCTGTCTCATGAGCATGAAATTATAAGCATGTAGCACTATGCTCAGTGATATTCATGATATTTTAATGAAGCAAAAATCCTGGAAAATAATATAAACATATTTAGAGGGAAAGCAGTTGATTATGGACACTGTGGTTAGTATGGGTCTTAAAAACATTTTTTATTTTCTTCAAGTCAAAAAAAATATACCATGGGGCTGGTGGGATTGCTCAGTGGGCAAAACCGTTTGCCAGACAAGACTGATGACATCAGCTCAATCCCGGGAAGGAAATAACTGACTCTGACTCCCAAAGGTTATTTTCTGACCTTTGCTATGGCCATTCTCCTGCACTTATACACACCTCTCTCTCTCACACAAATAATAAAAATTATATATATTCATGTATGTATGATATACATTAATCAGAAATAATAAACTTCTATTTTGGCCATTTGGAGAAAATACTTAATGTCTAAATCTTTTCCAGATAGCAGCATGGCCCCAAATCAGTGGCATCTCTCTTCTTGGACAAATCCACGGCCAGAAGCATCTCCAGCAAATGACTTCAGCAGCAGCAGCAGCTCAGATGAATATAGTCCTACGGCTATGGCTCTGCACCCACTGTCCATGCCCAGTGCTCCCTCTGCACATATGCAGGAGTTGTGGCAAGTCTCTTCCCTAGTGAGGCCAGAATTCCTAGAGCCTACCTTCCCTGTCTTTCCTGACAGGCATCTGGCTCCAGAAGTCTACTTTGATGGGTATCATGAGTCTCGTCTATATTTACTCCACCGGGATAGATACCTAAACCATCCTCTGCAACCTGCTGTCAGGGAGAACTACAACCTTGCCAGGATTGTCGGAAGCACGGGATTGCTCCTGAACCTGCCTCCCAGCACAGACTACTGTAAGAAACTGTTTACAGATACTTGCAAGGTTACTGCGGTTGACAGTGAGTTGAGGGACTAAGACTAATTACTGCCACTCTGGACATAGATAAGTCTGCTGCCAAGGGGCATTATATTATTTATAACTTCCATATATTTTAACTAGGTCACACTGGCATACACAGTTTAATGGCTAAAGTAGTACGTGCAGACAGCCAGACAGGCAGAGTTGGCCTGAAATAATCTCCCCAGTCTGTTGACTTGGCTTTGTCCTAGACAAAATGATGGGCTTATGCCTAAAATCATAGAATCTCATATTTACCTCCACTCCACTAAATAATCCATTTGCAAAACAGAGCTCTATGACGTACCTACAGGCTCAAACTCTGTTCTCCAAACAGGTTGACAACTTGCAATGATGCCAGACTCCTGGGCAAAAGCAAGGGCAATCTATACCAACCATCTGCTCCACACATTAAAATTCAAAGTGGCTGGAGAGGCAGCCCTGTAGCTGACTACAGAGACACCAGTGTCTGGCTGGCTGTGACTCCCTCCTGCATATTGGTCTCCTCATGCTCACTTTCCTTTGGGTTTCATCACCCTGATCACTTCCTCTTCCCCTGCACAAAAACATCCTCCAGGCTTGCTCACATTTTCTTCACTCACTCACCCATTATATAGTCAATTAATGGCTGGTAGATTCAAAATACTCATCATAAAGCAAGAGTTTTTTTGGTTGTTCTGATGTTGTTTGTATGTTTCTTTTAAAGAAAAGATAGGGAAGAATTGAATGTATTATACTTTCACCAAAATAGTGATGCACTCTGTCACAAGATTTGCTTTTCTTGTGATATACTTATTATATATGTGTGTATTCTCTCTCTCTCTCTCTCTCTCTCTCTCTCTCTCTCTCTTACACACACACACACACATACACACACACACACACACACATACACACACACACACACACACACACACACATAAAGCCAAGTCTGCATCCTCAAGTATTTTGTACTCTGGGTGAATTATTTACTTTCACAACATAATCCATACATATCTGTGGTTTAATGCATGAAGCAAACAAACTTCTAATTAAAATAGAACTCCACTATTTCCAAAGTTTGATTAGCAATATATAGATAGATTAAATCATGCAAATGGCCCGCTTAGGAGACTTCTTAAAATTTATACTATTATCTTCTTTTTCAAAAATCTTCTCCCGGATTTGGGAGGAAAATGAGACCAACTGTGTTTCTATGTATATCTATGCATACAAACAGCAGAACTCTGTTTCAACAGTTGGGTAGAAAACAGATGGCTCAGATCAGCATTTTCCAAACATAATGGCTCTCTGCAGTTCCAATCCAATTCAGCAAACCTTTAGTGAGCATCTACTGTAAGTGAGGCACATCAAAGTCAAAGGATGATGCAGGCATTGTCTATTGACAAAACTGTGACACACATTCACACACAAATGTTTATTATCTAAGTCTTATCTGGAGAAGTACTTCAAAGTCCCCTACCAGTGTTGACATCACTTGCATTCACTGGTGTCTCATAGTTCAGAAGTCACTGAGCAAGTTAAAGATCCTTCATTAGCTCTACCTGGGAGATGGGAAGAAGTTCCAACGGTTTGATGGGCAGAATCTTCTATTTTTCAGAATTTGATAAAATAAATTATGTTTTGTATTTAGAAAATAAGGGATGGGTAATCTGGGATCCCTGGAATACTACAGGCTTCTATCCCAACCTAAGGTTTCATTTCCATTTATGTTTTCTTCTTCTTTTCTAGATAATAAAATCTATGGTCTTGCACCTGCCACTGCCAGTCTTGATAATGAAAGTAAGTATGGGGTTTAGACTTTCACAGTGTAGCTCTGTGCCTTGGAAACAAACATAAAGAGTGTGTACTGTAGCAGCCAGAATCTCCAGCAGCTTACAAAAGCCTTATTTCCACGATTAGCTTTTCATAGAGACCATTGATTTCATATCCATCTCAAGGAGTCTGCATATGCACTGTATATTTTGCAAAGTTTCTTGAGCATGCTCTCATTTTGCCAGAGAAGCAATTCCACTGAATTCTTTCATCTGAGCCCTACTCAGTCAAGGTGACTCAGGAAGATGAATGAATCCATGAGGATTAGCTGTTTCAGGCATTCAGTTGTCAGCCACCCCAGGACTGATTCTATAGTCAAGAAGAACGTAATTGAGGGCCAAGGGCAGTTCTCTGGGCTCTATGCTGAATTTGAAATTAGGAGCTTCAAAATAAGGACAGGTTGGGCAGAAAGAAAAGAGAGCATCACACCTAAGTTGAAGGTTCTAATTCCAGATTTGATACTTACTAGTCTCAGGAACTTGCTCACAGTTTTTGAACTTCCCTGTGCATTAGTTGCTTCATTTATAAGACGCACATGAAAACAGTGACTACCACATAGGTGTTCTCTGGGAATTTAATGAAATAATGTGTGCAAATGCTTAGAAGAATATTTAGCTATAGTTAGCCATTTAAACAGTATAAAGTAGAATGGGAGTACAACTCAATGGTAGATTGCAGGCCCAGAGTACTTACCTAGCAGATAGAGGAAGGCCCTGGGCTTTATCTCTAAAACAGAACAGAACCAAAAGCAAAAAACATGCAGCTCATTAGAAGGCATCTTATGCCCAAAACTTACTCAAAGCACAAAAAATAAGAATGACCAGCATGGCCCTTGAGCTTAGATGTTGCATAGTGGTCACTCTAGCAGCAAAGAGACATGGCCCATGCTGCAGTCAGTAGCCAGACTGATTTAGAGACTTCTAGACTAGTAAAGCAGGATCCTTGACCACATTCCAGAAAAGAATTGCAGGATCAGTCACAATAAATTGAAGTTAGCAAGTTCTACTTAGTAGAACTAAGGAAAATACATGCTTTGGATTTGTGTAAGAACACAAAAAGAGAAGGATGGAGAGAGTCTTTTTAAATTACATTGATCAAAGGATAAAATTTGCAGCAAGATTTGAAGATTAAGCAAAGGTCAAAATTAAGTCAAGTTTAAAATTAAATAGAAAGCATAAAATTTGTGGACTCATTTCCTTTATCTTAAAAAGAATTTTCTTTTGCAAATAATATTTCACGGTGGTTCATGAAGTGCATCATTTAGATTTAAGGATGAGAAAGAGATACTGATGTAGTTAATATCAACACCACAGATAATCTGGCTTTAGGTAAGAATAGTGGGCTTTTGTTTGTTTGTTTTTTGTTTATTTTCTGAGGTTCCACATATTGAATTTAGTCAGAGGAAAGAAATGTGAAGAAAGTATGATAAATACAATTGACATTATCTGCCAGTAATATGATCCTATACTAGAACCTTGGGAAGTACTCATTTTTAATATATCCATTCAACATGGGAAAGTAAAGCTCAGACAGGCTAAGGAAGTGGCCCAACGCCACATAGCTAGGCACTGGTGAGCTAGGACTCCAACCTAGGATAATTTGATTCTAAAACTAGCCTCTTCACCATCATGTTTACCCTGTTTTTAGGAAGCCTGTCTCCAGAGAATAGACGAGATCTCTACTTTTATTAGCCTCCATCGGAAGAAGACAATTCCTTTTGCGCAATGTGATCCTGTTTTTCTACTGTGGATCCAGAAGTCCCCAAAGCATCCCCATCCCTTTCTGTCCCCGATGCTAAGAAATAGCCAATCTGGCACAAGTCCCTGCTCTCTTTTAAATTCTGCTTTGCTTTGCCTTAGCAACTGTGCCCCATGGCAGGGGTTTTCAAACATAAGCAAATTCCCAGCTTATAAAATGCAGAAAGTAGCTGCTGTGGGTAGAATGCACAGAAACTTACCTGCTGTTCATCGTTCTGCCTCATTGTGTCTACTTCCCTTTTCCTTAGAATCTGTGGGCCCTCAGGTTCCCAAGCAGTGTCCTTTGAACAAAGATGGAGCCCATGGAATTTCATAAGGCTATTCCTGAATGAATTGTGGGACCAAGCTCAGCCCAAACTGTTCCAGCCTAAACTGGACTGAGTCAACCCCACTCCTGTCTCAGAGAAAAGCCAAATAAAAATGGTGTGCAAAAGGCTCCCCTCTTCCAAAAAGAACTGGTTGAGGCTGCTGACAACCTCCATCTACAATGTCTAGACTCTATACTCTAGAGAGAATCTGGAAAGTCTACATCTGGACCTGTCCAATGAAATATTTTGCTTAGAAATTTTAGTTCTCCAGGTCTAGGTAACTAATTCAAAGGGGCATTGTTGAGAAATCTGAGATGGAAACAAAACAAAGTCCCTTGTTCCAGCATGGGCCTGCTGCTAGAGCAGAACTTATTCTAGAAGATTCAGGGCATTTCTTGATTGCACTTCCTTGAGTTTCTGTCACCCTTTGATCTGATGAGGAGGATCATGGAATCTGACATTCAATGGATGCAAAACTGGACTTTAGAGGGAGCACTTACAACCTCCTCAAGGAGCCTAACTACCATCCACAAAGCATGCATCTTGTAGCTCAGAGCCAGCAATACCTGGGAGACAGTCACTTTCTTTTAAGCACTAAACTGTTGGAGTAATCCATGTAGATACCCACAGTACCTTTTGTTAAGTTGGAGGAACAAGGTGAGGTTTGCTTCATTTCTCGAGTCTTGTAGACAGCATCGAGTCTGTACGATCTGGGTACTTGCCACATGACAACCCTGGAAGCCCCTGCCATCAATGTTCTCCATCCATGCCATACCTGCTCTTATGTAACTTCCCAGAGAGTGAAGAATAATAAAAACTATGTTTTTTTTTAAGATGCTGATAGTCTGTGTTCTAAAGATTTCCTTTTTGTCTTGGGTTGATTTGGGACATCCACTATTTCATTTAATCTTCCTAACAACCCTGAGATCAGTGTTATCATTCAGCTGCAAATCCCTGAAACTTTCCCTTGAATAAAAACACAAGCAGATGCCAATTTTCTTACTTCAATTAAGGGGGACTGAAAAACTCCATTTACCAGGAGACCCCACGTTCTTCTGACACACACAGGCAAATCTTGTTGTCCAGATCAACTGTTATTTAGTATTTGATTTAGACTTCTACATCTGTCCTGTTTTTCCAACCTGACTCCCAAAAAGTTTGCTTCAAAAGCCTTTTTTCATTCACTCTGCCAGTTTTAATATATTCCACTCTACTCCCTCACAAAATATATACCATTCTTTACACACACAGGAAGGGTAGCTGGGCTCCTTTGTACTGTATGTAGCCTCACTTAGGCTCTGGCTGATAATCTGGTGATATGCTCATGGCAGGGGGTAGGAAATGGCACTTTCCCATCAGCTTGATCAGTCTTGATGTGGTGGGAACTCTTGTAGGGCTGGAGCTCAAAAAACCCATTCACATCTCTCTCCAGTTGGGATCATTTGATAGCATTCTGGTGGGGCCTGACTGATAAGCTATGTTGGCCCTCACTCCATAATACACACCCAGTTCTGGCTTTTACAAACTAAAAGAACTGAAGCTGTTTCAAGGGGGCTGGAAATACCCACCTGTTTGAGTGATGTCTATCTCTACAAAAGCAAAAACAAAATAAAAAGTAACAAAGATTATCTTAAACCTTCCAAATAGAAGACATCATGAGTTCCCTTCCACATCCAAGATGAAATGTTTATAGACAGTATTTATGAAATTCAGTGGTTCAAATACACACAAAAGACATAAAAGTAGGAGGGAACTGCTTGGGCTGGGTGGTGGTGGTGCACACCTTTAATCCCAGTACTGGAGAGGCAGAGGCTAGCAGATCTCTGTAAGTTCCAGGCCAGCCTGGGCTGCAAAGTGAGGTCCAAGACAGCCAAGGTTACAAAGAGAAACCCTGTCTTGAAAAACCAGGAGGGGACTACTTGGAAATAAGGGTTTCAGCAGAAGGGGGAGAGGGATGAAAGGGAGATGAGAAATAAAATTCACTGTGTGTGTAAACATGTCAAGAAAATAAATAAAAGTTACAAGTAAGGAGCAATTAAGAACACTGAGTGATCTTTCAAAGATGTTAGGTTCAGTTCTCAGCACCAGTTCTGGAGGTGGCATCTGATACCTTCTGGCTTCCATGGACACTGTACACACATGGTGCAGAGGTACACATGCAAGAGAAACACTCATTTGCATAAAGTAAAAATAAATAAATTTAAAAAGAAAAGTTCCAAGTGGGAAAGCCACTGGCAGATGCAACTAAATCTTATATTTTAAACATGTAAATATATGCTCTAAAACACAGTTTTATGAGTAACAGTGAAAATGACATTAGTCCTCCACAAACTAATTACAATATATCACTTTTATCTTCCATGTAAACCATAAATGATATTTTTTTCTAACAAAAATGTCACCAGGTTAACACTTTATTGAAAATAGTTGTATAGTCTGTTATCTGTCTTGGTCTGACTCCTCCCAGCCTGTGCTACTATTTCTGTTCTTTGCCCGAGTACTGGAGGATCTGAATGTTCAGGTCCTCATGCTTGGATGGCAAGAATTTTATCCAACCCCACTTTAATGGTAATATACTGATACAGCATTTCAATGTGGTTTTGTTTAACTGATCAGAGGTGATTATGGAAATGAACAAAGATGTCATTTTCATAAGCATTATTTTTTCATATATGCATAAATGAAATCTCAAGAATCTTCTCAGTAGAAACTCCCTGGAATCTATGAATGTGACCCTATCAAAGACTCCCAAGTAATGGGGGATATGGAGCCTGAGCCAGCCATCTTCTCTAACTAGGCAAGGCTTCTAGTAGTGGGACTGGGATATGAACCCAGCCACAAAACCTTTGCCCTACAATGTGTCTTACAAGACATACTGGGGTAAAGTTGACAGAAATTGTGGGTGTGGTTAACCAATGACTGGTCCAAATTGAGGCCTGCACCACAAGAGGGAGGACACATATGACATTGCCTGGATGACCAGGAACCAGAAGCTGGATAGCCTGGACACCTAGTATAGAACCAAAAACAACTGACAAAAGAAAATTTCAATGAAGTGATTCTTATTGATGTTGTGCTATACTAATAAACTTGTACCTAGCTCAAGGGTTATCAGAGGGGTGTCATCCAGAAACTTATGGGAGCAGAAACAGAGACCCACAGCAAAACATAAGGCAGAGCTCAGGGAATCCTGTGGAAGATAGTCTCGGAGAAAGGATTGTATTAGCGAGAGGTGTAGAGGATACCACAAGGAGGTTTACAGAATCAATTAGTCAGGGCTCACGGAGGCTCAAAGAGACTGAGCAGACCTAGATATTCTACACATATATTACAATTGTGTAGTTTGGTGTTTCTGTGGGACTCCTAACAGTGGGATCAGGGGCTGTCTGTGAGTCTTTCGTCTGCTCTTGAGACCCTTTCCCTACTACTGGGTTGCCTCATCCAGCCTTGATATGAGAGTTTGAGCCTAGTCTTATTGTAACTTGTTATGTCATGTTTGGTTGGTATCCCTGGGAGGTCTGTTCTTTGCTGAATGGAAACAAAGGACAAGTGGATCTAGGAACAAGGGGAGCTTAGAGGTGGGTGGGTGGGGACTGGGAGGAGTGGCAGGAGGGGCTCAGGGTGTAATGTATGAGAAAAGAATGAGTAGAATTAAAAAAATAAGAATCTTCTCAAAGGTAAATTGTTTTAACCAGTTTGCATGTGTTAGTCCAGTAATCTTTCTTATCTGTTTTTGTTGTTGTTGTTTGGTTGCTTTATTTTGTTTTTTTCAAGACAGGGTTTCTCTGTGTAGTCCCTGGATGTTCTGGAACTGGCTCTTTAAATCAGACTGGCCTAAACTCAGAGATCAGCCCATCTCTGCCTCTTGTGTGCTGCTATTACAGGCATGTGCCACCACTGCCTTGCTCCATTAATTTTTCATAATTGAAAGCTTTGATGATTCTCTGAAGAAATCAAAACCCACTCTTGTGTATGTACACTTGATTCTTTAAGTCAGTCTCTTTGTGGCTCTCTCCTTTCCCTCTTTCCATTCTCTCTCTCTCTCTCTTTCTTCTTTCTATACTGAAATTTACATAAAAACTTAATCTTGTTAGGTATGGTAGCATGTATTTTTAATCCCAGAACTCAGAAGGCAGAGGAAGGTGGCCAGAGCTATATCAAACAGACAGCATCAATCCACAAATAAATCAATAAACAAAATCAAATAACTTAATCTTTTCTGTTTTTGCGACAAAGTCTCTTGTATCCCAAGCAGAATCAAACTCACTATATAGCTAAGTATGGCCTTGAATGTTTGATCCTCTTGCCTCCACTTCCTAAGTGGTGAAATTACATGTATGAGACATGACACCCAACTTTAATGTTTATTCTTGATAAACTTCAACTTTGTTCAAAAAAAATTAAAAAGTGTAAGCACAATGACCATCAATGAATCTTGAGATTTCTAGCTGTGTTATTTCTTAAAGTATTTTATTAGATGGAGGCTTCAGAATACAGTAGTGTGAGAGGTTTATGAGAGTTTGGCAGGTTAACTCCTATAGGAAAAAAAAAAACAGCTGAAAGAAGAGGATTGAAAAGGGACTTTGACCTTGATGCATAGCTGACAGAATCTTGACCACCTCAACG